GGGCTCCCGCAGCCCGAGGAGGGGGGCGCAGGGGTGGCTCCCGCAGCCCGAGGAGGGGGCGCAGGGGGGCTCCCGCAGCCCCAGGCCTCGCCGCCAGCCTGCGCAGCCTACACTCACTGCTTGTTGCACTGTATCCAGCCTGAGCCTTTGCGCCCGCAGTTCCCGCGCTCCGTGCCCTCCACGTTCAGCTTCTCATAGCAGAAGCGATCTGCGGCAGCTGCAAGGAGACAGGGAGCCCTAGCCTCAGGGCTGCACCGGGCCTGGGAGCTGCACTTGGAGCCACAGTGCGCGGAGGAACCATTTGGAAACTGGCCCCATGTCCTGAGCCCACTCACCACGACCCCACAGGGCCTGGCACTGCCGATCCCGGGTCCTGCAGCGGCCTCCATAGCAGCGCCCCTAGGGTGGGGGTGGCAGTGAGGGTGGGCTCAGGGGGCGGCACGGGCGGGGAGGGGGCGCCACCCCTACCTGCTCGTGGTCACAGGTATAGCCGTCCAGCTTGTGCAGATTAGGGGGACACTACGGAGAGATCGGCCTGAGGGCTGCGCCCAGGCACCTGGAGCCCCAGCCTCCCTGCCCATCTCCTGCACCCCAGGCCACGATGCCTGGCCATACGGACCACACAGGGGTCACAGGTCACCCGTGGGCACAGTGTCGGCCGGCCATTGGCCAGACGTGACCGAGGAGGGCGGCTAAGGAGTGGAGGTGCCCCTCCCAAATGGAGAAACTGAGGCTGTCAGCGAGCAGACCTGGCTGGAGTCCCCGGTGCAGGTCTCCGCGATGTCGCACTCGTTTACTGCCTCCCGGCAGGATACGCCCCGAGGCTCATACTGCGAAGAGGGCGGGATGAGCGGGCGAGGCCCCGCCCAAGCCTCAGCGAGTCTCCGCCCCGCGCCCCGCGGCTTGCGCCCGCTCCCTGCCATTGGTCCTGCCTCATCCCAGGCCCGCCCCCCGCGTACCTTGCAGCGCCGACAACACAGGCCGTCGCTGCACATGGCGTCGTGTGTCAGTGTGCACTTCTTGCAGCAATTGCCGCCAGCTCGGCTGCACTCCTGGGGGTCGGGAGAGGAGGGAGGCGCAGCCTGTCCTCCCCGCACCCTCACCTCGGCCACCCCATGGGGACCCCTGCTCCGCTCACCTGCACAGAGCCGCAGTCGCACTCCTCCCCGGCCTCCACAAAGCCGTTACCGCACTCGGGTGGGTCCAGGAGCTGCGAGGGGTGCGGTGGGTCAGGGTTAGGGTGGAGGTCAGGGCTAAGGTCAGGTTGGGGTCGGGGTCGGGCTGAGGCTGCTGTCGGGGCACCTTCAGCGGCTTGTTGAAAAGGCAGCTCCCGCCACCCTCCTGCAGGAACTGCGTGTACTCGTCGATGCTGCAGCGTGAAAACTTGCGGGGCAGGTAGAACCTGGGCAGGGGAGGGGATTACAGCTGGGCACCTCCTGCCCGCTTGCTGCCATCCCCAGCGCAGGGGGGCCGCAGGGGGCCAGCCCCTCCCCAGGCCCGGTGCCCGCACTCACCCCGTATCCTCCATGATGCACCCCAACCAGACGTCGGGACACCTGCAGTCGCCGGCCGCACTCCGGTGCTGGTTCCACATCATGCCCAGATTCTGCCCCAGCGTCTGCGCTAGCGTCACTGCCATGGCCCCCATGTTGCCGTACTGGAGAGGGGGAAAGGGAGGCCAGGTGTCTGCACCCCGCGGCCCCGGCCCAACCCCAAGGCCCCCTGCTCACCTCGTTCACACCGCCTCCCCGTGACAGCGAGCAGATGCCCCCCACGTAGGCCGCCCCGCTGCTGGAGCTCTGGAAGGTGCGGCCCCTGCCAGAGAAGCCACTGGGATAGGCTGCCCACCAAACCCTACCTTGGGAGGGAGGCCCTGCCCTGGGAGTCAGCCCTGAGGAATCTGTCTCTATGGACTGCACTCGAGGTGCAAGGCCCCTGCCTCAAGGAAGGACACTGGGGTGGCCTAAGGGCAGAGACCTTCAGGGCTGGGACACCAGGCTCAAGCTCCCCAGTCAGGGTGCAGGGGGGCCCAGCCAGGCAGCAAGCGCAGCGTGCATGGACACCACTCACGAGAAGAGGTGGGTAGCATCACTGGGCTCGGGCAGACCCTCCTGCCGGTAGACCATGAGGCGGGCCAGGGTCTCCAGGAGATCATCTTGCACCTGGATCTTGTCCCCATCCGCCCATGTCTCCATGGCGACCAGCACAATTCGGGTGTTGAGCTGCTCCTTGTATATCTGGACCCAGAGAGGAGAGGGGGCAGGCAGTGGCAGAGGCCTGGCTGGGCTTCAGAAGGCCTCCCTCCCCTCCAGGAAGGGGACGTAAGACACATGTGGGCCAGGAGCTCACCACGTCTGCCAGGTTCACCACGGACTTGGCAAAGTTGCTGGTGAGGACGACCGACTGCCGCATCTGCTCAAACTAGGGGAGACAGAGGGGTGGGCTCCTGGCCGGCTCCCCCCGGCCACCCCTGGCTGGGCACCTACCAGCTGGTGGTCATTGACCACGACGAGCTCCACATACTTGGTCTCACTGTGCACGGTGGGGTGGCCCCGGCGCACCTGGAGGCAGGCAGGCCTGGAGATCAGTCCTCTACGCACTTGACGCTGGGGGTGAACTCCAGCAGGGCAGTTAGGCCCTGCAGAGTCCAGTCCCCCAGCCTGGGGGCTGCAGTGCCATGGTCAGGAGCTGCCGGGGCTCACCCCGGAGATGGCCTGGAGTCTGAGTGGGCCCCGTACCTGCCTTTTCCTTCTTAGCCTCGGCCGGCTTGGAGGGACAGAATGGGCAGCAAACAGGCAGCCTGTGGGGGTGCTGGGGTGAGGAGTGCTGCCTGGTCCAACCAGCCCCACCCTGCTCCACTTCCAGCCCTTACCTGGCTCCCTGCATCCGAGGGGGGCTGGGAGGAGAGGGGTCCGGTAAATGAGGTGGGGGAGGGGCCCCTGCAACGAGGGATGAGTTCTTAGGGGCTCAGGCAAGTCTGCCACCAGCCCTCCCCCACCCCACCTTGGGTGACCCAGAACTGTCCGGGACTTCACATTGGATCTGATCTCCCAGATCCTCAGATTTCTGGGGTCAAGACCCGGGGGTGCCCTAAGAGCTGGGGGCAAAGGACACTGGAGCCCATGGGAGGTCATGTGGGGGACAGCAGGGACATTGGAGACAGGGGACAGGCAGGGAACCAGAGCTGGGGTCAACAAGGAGGGCAGGGAGGCTGAGGTTACTGCAGAGACAGTGGGAGTACCTGGGGGTGCGCCTGAGGCCTGGCCAGCACCTGGGGCTCCACAATGAAGGTTGAGTTCCCATCAGAGAAGACCCCACTGTGGAGAGAGGGGGCTTGCACCGTCTGCTCCCCTGGGAGGCAGGGCCCCACCCCAGCCGTACTCACTGCAGCCCCTGGCAGGTGGACAGCGCAGCAAAGGAGTGCGGGTTGCCCCGGAGCTTGCCCTGGTAGTAGCAGTGGTCTCCAGCACCCTGGGGAGTACAGCTGTGAGGAGGTGCCAGGGGCCCCAGCAGCTGCCCATGTACTGCACCCAACCTGGCTGGCCCTGAAGAGCTGTGTTAGGCACTTGCTGTGTGGAGGTGCCCAGCCGTGCCTCAGCATCTCAGCAGGTGCCTGCTGCAGACCCCACCACACTGGCCAAGGTCCAGCCTGGCTTGGGCTTCCTGGCTGAGGGGCCATCCTGCTGCCAGGCTTGGCCCTGGGAATCAGTCCTGCTCCAGCAACTGGCCAGTGGCGGGGCAGGGACCCCGTGTGTCAGGTAGCAGGATCCTCGGCTGGACTGCAACACAGTGGATTGCACCGTCTGCTCCCCTGGGAGGCAGGGCCCCACCCCAGCCACACTCACTGCAGCCCCTGGCAGGTGGACAGCGCAGCACAGGGGTGCGGGTTGCCCTGCCACCTCTGGGGCTCAGAGGCCTGTCTGCTTGCCCTGCACATTACTGAGTTCACCTCAGAAATGGGGAGCCCCCACCTAGCCCTTCTCCTCCGCTCTCCATCCCCCTGGACTCACGGTGCTGTGCTGTGCCGCCCCCTCCCGGCCGAAGTGCCGTTCCACATATTGAGAAGACAGCAGGTGACTGAAACAGCAGAAGGGGCTCGGTCACCTCCACCCTCTGGAGCAGTTAGGCCCTGCCCCAACCCCGTCTGTCCCTCGGGAACACTCACTGGTTCAGCTCCAGGTCCAGGGTAAAGTTGGAGTTGAATGCGGGGATGACAAAGCTCACCTGGGCCAGGTGGGCAGGCTGGCACGGGGCAAGGGCAGAGAGGAATCAGGCTGTGAGGCCCAGAGGCCAGTGCCACGAGGACCGCTGGGCTCCCAGGCGTGGGGCTGCAACTGCGCTGCACCCTGCACCCCGCAGCCCAGGGCACCTGCACCGCCCACCTCCCGCAGCCCAGGGCACCTGCACCGCCCACCACCTCCCGCAGCCCAGGGCACCTGCACCGCCCACCTCCCGCAGCCCAGGCTGGCCTCTGGGGCTGAAGCTCTCACACCACAGTGCCCCACATCAGTGTGGGGAGTGAGCTGACCTGGGCCCCGGGCCAGAAGAGGGACCATTTCCTCCTGTCAGGAGGAGAGGGCTTGGCTCCACTACCCCCAAATGCACTGCCCTCCCCACCTGGCCCAAAGCAGCTCATCTTTAATATTTCAATCTGCGGTTAATTTTTAAACACGGAAGTTTTCCTGATAAATTTTTCAGAGGGGCCTAGGCGGTGGGGCTTGAGGCTCCGGGTTGCCATGGCAGTGCACACAAGAGCTGCGCACGGTGGCTCTGACCCAGGCCCAGCTCCAGGCCCAGAATGCCCAGGGAGACCGCAGGACAGAGGTTCCTGGCCCAGCCCCGCTGAGCACTGCTCAGTCTTACGGGGTCTGAGGGCCCCAGAACTGAGCCCCAGATGCGGCAGCCAAGGCCAGGCCCTCCAGCAGCCTGGCTGGTGTGCTGGGGCAGAAGGTGCCTTAATGGAATGCCCCCAAGTCCCTAATCTGCTGCCTGGCAGCCGCCACCCTCCTGTAGGCTTCTCATGGACCAGGCTTGAGCCCCAGTAGGTGCTCCAGTTGCTCCCCTGACTTCCGGGGACACTGAGGCAACAAGACACCAGGAGATGACCTCTTTGCCTGAGGCTATCCACTTAGGGACCAGGGGGAGCTGGGACACCCTTCCCGAAAGGTGATGCAGGACAGAGAGCAGCCTAGGTCCCTGGGGAGATGGTGAGGGGCCCAGGCACAGCAGGTGGCTAGAGCTCAGCCCAAGGACACCCCTCACCATCCTGGGCTGACCAGGGTGCCAAGCTCCTCCCGGCCAGCAGCATTGATCAGACTGGAAATAGCGAACCAAGGGCCAAGGGCAGGATGTCTGCTGTCCTTTCCTGCCCCTCCCTGAGCCTGTCTGAACCACCCCTGCCCTGGGGCCTGGGCCGCCTGGAGTCTGCACCTAACAGCCCCTCTCCCACCCAACTCTGGCCACCCAGAAGTGGCCTGCCCAGCCCCGTAGGACAGCCCAGAAACCATTCGCCTCAGATTTGCCTTGGAAGGCAGAGCTGCTACCAAGCCCCAAGGCTGCTGCGAAGGCCAGGCTGTTCCGGGTCTGGAGGGATCAGGCCCTCACAGTGCCCACCTCCCTCAGGAAGCAAGCAGGCTGGGCAGGTCCACCTACATCAGCCCAGGCTCACGGGGGAGCTTTGTGCTGAGCTGCAGCCCCAGACTTTAATTTTCTTTCTTTCTTTCTTTCTTTCTTTCTTTCTTTCTTTCTTTCTTTCTTTCTTTCTTTCTTTCTTTCTTTCTTTCTTTCTTTCTTTCTTTCTTTCTTTCTTTCTTTCTTTCTTTCTTTCTTTTCTTCTTTCTATCTTCTTCTTTTTTTTTTTTTTCCAGAACCGGGGGTCGAAGTCAGGCCCTTGCGCTTGCCAGGGAAGCACTTATTCTACTGAGCCATCTCCCTGGCCCCCCAGACTTTAATTTTTGAGGCAGAGTCTGGGTACGTAGTTGAATTGTTCTCTTGGGCTGGAACTTGTGATCCTCCTGCCTCAGCCTCCTGAGCCTGGGATGACATGTCACAGAGACAGACCTCTTGTGCTCACAACCTGGAAGGCTGAAGCTGGTGCAGTGCTGGGGGCTGGGCCTGACAGAAGGCCACCCAGGAGGGCTCTGGGCCATCAGATGGCAGTGGAGGAATAGGGAACCAGACCTTGCCAAGGGACATAGCCTTGTCCCCAAGGGAGGAGCCAGGTCAGCTGTGCCACAAGAGGGGGCTGCTGCCAGCCAGTGCCCTCCCTGGCGCTCTCCTTATCAGGCTTGGAGCTCAGCCCCGCACCGAGGGAACAGCTGGGCCACAACCTGTGCCCTGCCCTTTCCCCTTGGTGCTTGCCACCTGGCTCCCACATGCCCTGCCACTTGACCACAGCATGCCCGGGCCACTTGGTCCTCAGTTCATGAGTGCCCAGGCCTCCTCAGCTGGGGAGGATGGCCTACCCCTCCCTGATTCAGGCTGTGAGATGAAGGAGGAGCGATCTTGGGCTCTGCCAGGTGGACAGGACCCCAGCCTGGGGAAGGCGACGAAGATGGCAAGGATGTGCCTAGGCACACACTGAACCCCAATCTCCTTATCACCTCCATCACAGGGGCTTGGCTCAGTGGCCCTGGGAGCCTTGAAGCACAGTACTGGGGGTCAAACCTAAGGACACTCCACCACTGAGCTATGTCCCCAGCTCTTTTTAAAGATTGGGCAGGATCTCATTAAGGTTCCCAATCTGACCTTGAACTTCAGATCTTCCTGTCTCGTTTGTAAGTGTGCATCACTGTGCCTGTGACCACATCAGCCTTTCTCCCCCAGGGGCTGCTTGGCCTCAGTTTCCCTCTGGGGGAATGGGGATGTTTGGGCGCACAGAGCCCTGGTTAGCACGCTCTTACTGTGGGCTGGTAAGGCTGACAGACTGGAGGTGTCCACTGCATCCTGGCCAGACAGGCAATGCAGGCAGAGCAGAAGGGCACAAAGCCCCAGGGACACCCAGGCAGTGGCTTTGTGCTCAGTCTGGGAGGACCTGCAAGGTCTCACTGAGGTGTCTTTCTGGGGATGGACACCACCACCTTTTGGGGTAGGTAGCTGCTGCGGGGCTGGGCTGCTGAGGGGTCCTGGCCAGGAAGCCCGGCCCCACAAGTGAGGCACAGTGCTCCATTGTTTAGCAGAATGCCGGGCTCCAGACCTCAGAGCAGGTGGACAGCTCTCTGTGAGGGTATGTGACCCACATTGGGAGGACGGCGTCACCTCCTTACAGGGTCACCTCTGGAGACAGACACTGGGCAGCTGGGCTCTTCCAGGCAGTCAGCAGGGGGCTGAGGAGGCCAGAGCCTGAAAGAGAGGGCACAGGCCCTCTGGGGTTCTTCCTGGGCCCTCTGGGGTTCT